GCAACAATGAATGAATGGAAATCCAGTCTCTGTAAATTTTCATGAAAATAAATTTAAAATAAAAAAAAAATTCTCGCAACAGAACCATTAAACAAAGTGATGATAAATAAAAAAAAAATTTAAGCACTGAAAAAATAATTTGAGTTGTAACTAACTTTGCATTTTACTGGAGGAAAGTTTACTAATATTCAACTGCTGCTTCTCTTTTACTGCTAAGTAAAAGGATCAAGTGCAGTTTGGCACAAATGGAACTGATCGCCCCACTGGCCCGAGTCACAGCCAAGATGATGACGGGGCCTTCCTCCTTCTCTTACAGGATGCGGCCTCCCTCGGCTCTCAGAAAGGTGGGATCACCAAGCACGGGTGGCTGTACAAAGGCAACATGAACAGTGCGATAAGCGTGACCATGCGGGTAAGACGGCTTCGCAGTCGCCATCCCCCATTGTTAACCCCTTCTCTGTTGTAAGGCTTGAGGCGAATGTTCCAGATGAATGAATATGCGGTTCTTCCAGACAAAGTGACGCTATCTTGTTAGTAAGGTGTCTCCTTGGAGGTAGCAGGTCTGTGGGTATTGACTTTTCACTTCACTTCTTATTTGCCCACTGACCACTGGCAGGAAGAGACCAGCCTTTGGCTGAGGGAGCATGTGATTGCTGGCTCAGGCCTTGTTCCATGTAGTCACTACTCCCGTGAGTCTGGCAACGTCATAAGACAGCACCAGACTGGCTTTCCAGCCAAACCTACGCACCACGATGGTGGTATTGGCAACCACGTCAAGTAAAACACAACCTGAGAATGGAGGAACATTGGTTCAATTTGCAGAGGAAATAAATAAGGAAAAAGAGTGTAAAAGCTTTTCAAGAGTGAAATAGAACCAGAGGAAGGTCAGGATAACAGAGACAAGAAACAATAGGGGAGGGGGAGTGAGCATAGAGGAGGTAAATCTCATGCTGACTGGAGCGATCCGGAGGCTGGAAAACCATTCAGCATCATGAGGCAGAAATAGCTGCCCTTCTGTGTGAGCAAGAATCCCTGGGGATTGTAGCAAGTTTCCCTCCTGGGCTGCAGCTCAGATTGGATGGTTATGCAGAATCTTGTGTTCCGTCGGTTCCAAGAATGGCCTGTGCATGTGAAGAGAGCTGCCTTCTCCAAACTGTGTTGCAGAACTGTTGGATGTTGTGAGCAGTCCCAACATCCAGTTCCTGGGAGCCCTGGCGAGAGGGAGGGAGCTTGTTTTCAGAGAGAAGGGAGGTTGGGTTTGTACAGTGTGTAGTTGCTGAGTTGCTGAGAAAGGTGGTGATTCTTTTTTTCAGTCATTTAAGAGACGGTTTTTCCACCTGATTCAACTTGGGGATGGATCCTATAATTTGAATTTTTACAAAGATGAAAAGATCTCCAAGGAGCCGAAAGGATCAATATTTCTGGATTCCTGCATGGGCGTCATCCAGGTAAATATGCACAGAGCTAGACTGTCACATTCTCTTGTTAGAAAAGCACCATCCATCACAGATTTAAGCAAACACTTTAAAAATACAGGAAATATATTCTCTAACTTTAAAGTGATTAAAGCTTTGCTTTTCATCTGCTAAGAAAATGATGGGGTAAGCAGAGATGCCTAGGTGTTTGAATTCTTGTGTTTAAATCCAGTGCTGCTACTTTTAAATTATGACTTAGGTGGACATAATTTTCTTAAGTTTGAACTTAAGTTTCTTTATCTGCAAAACCAGGATAATCATATTTTTTTTACCAAGGTACTTGTGAGGTTTGGGTGAGCGGATGCAAACATTTACCGCATGGGGGTTTAGAGCAGCACTTCACATCAGTAGTGCTCAGTGATTGGTGTCTTCTGCACCACCGTCATAGTACCAATGGTAGGATAGTGCAGTGGTTAAGCATTTTGGAGCCAGCCTGAGTTTGAATCTCGGCTCTCCCATTTCTATGAAATCTTAATGATGTGACTTAATCTCTTTCGCTTTCAGCTTATCTGCTAAATATGAAAAGTTTAGGATCAAATGTCATTTTTGAATGGAATAAGTTAATAGAGATGCAAAGAACAGCACATTATGATAATGTTAATTTGTTATGGAGTTATTTTTAGATGTTCTTTTTGTTATAAATATAATGTGTATGCATTCCTTTTTTTTTCTACTAGTTTATTTACAAAATTCTAATACAAATTTGAACAAACCCTTTCAATTTCCCTCACTCCCCCACCCATCAGATTAATCCTCCTCCCCCTGCATATCCACATCCCTCTGCTTCCAGCCTCTTCCACCCCTCCTGGATCCTTAAACTCATTCTACAATAACAGTTTGATACAATATTTATCCTTGCTAACTGAGTTAGTTCACTCAGCATAATGCTCTCCAGTCCCTCCCAAGTTAGGTAATAATTTACAAAGTTATTGCTCCTACGTGCTGCATAATATTCAACTGTGTGAATGTACCATAATTTCACAATCCATTTGTTTGTGATTCCACATTTGGGCTGTTTCCATGTTCTTGTGATGGTGTATAATGCTGTTATAAGCATTGGTATACAAATCTCAGTTTGTGCCTCAGTTCTCATCTTCTCAGGGTGTGTATTCTTTTTGTAAAAATCACTGAGTAAAAGTGTTTCTTGATTCTTTGCTCCTTCTCTCTCTCCTCCATCACCTCATCCTTTTCCAGAGAGCTGTTCTTACTGATCAATGTGTACTTCCATATGTTTTAGAATTGCCTTTGGAAGCGTGTTGATAGTTTCCTCATTCATCCATCTACTTACCCATTTGCTACTCTTGACATTTTCCAGGAAGATTGAAGGCAGCAGCTTGTAAGGATTTATAAAAACATAATATGATGTTGTTGTTGTTGTTGTTGTCCTTAGTTGTCATTGAATTGACTGCGATGCATGGCATCCTCAGGTGTGCAGAGTAGAACATCTCAACAAGTGGTCACAGCTGAGACCATTTGAAAACAGAATACCAGGCCTTTTGTTAAGGTCCCCCTGGGTGGGTGTAAACGGCAAGCCTGCCAGCTATTAGTTGAGCATTTAGCTGTTTGCACTAGCCAGGGACTCTGAAGGAATATTGAATATTGTTATTATGTACCATTGTGTTATCTGAGATTCATAGTGAACCTATGTACAACAGCTCCAAAGCCTACTCTGTCCTGAGCCAGTCTCCCTAATTCCGACACACCAGCCCCCATTGCCCCAGCTACTATATCAATCCATCTCATCCGGGGTCTTCCTCTACTGTGCTGTCCTTTCACCCGTCCAAACGTGATGTCCTTCTCCAAGTACTAGTTCCACCTGGCCACATGCTCAAAGTATGTGAGACAGAGCTTCAGAATCCTAGCCTCCAAGGAGAATCTTGGTTTCACCATCTTCAAGACAGACTTACTTGTTTTCTTGATAGTCCATGGTATGTTCAAGACTCTTCTCCAGCACCACAACTCAAAGGCATCAATTCTTTTGTCATCTTTGGTCATTGTCCAGTTCTCTGATGCATAGCAAGTAATTGCAAAAACCATGGCATTGATCGGGTGCACCTTAGTCTCTAGACTGACATCATTGCTTCTCAGTACCCTAGAGATGTCCCTGACAGAAGATTTTCCCAGTGCATGTCATCTGCATATCCTATGTTAGTTAATATCTGCATGTACAGTGCATAGTTACATGGCACATCTTTATGCATAACGACGATTATGAAAATGATAAGAACAGGGCACTGTTTCAATTCTGTTGTATATAGAATTGCTGTGATTTAAAACAGACTTGATGCACCTAACAACAACATCCATATGGTATGAGCATCACAAACCTTTAAAAGAGGAAGAAGATACACAAGAGACTGGGAGATGAGACAGAAAAAGTAGAATTGAACTTTGTTTTTAATTGTCATTTGAATGGAAGTTTACAGAAAAGTTGGATTTTTATTCGTTCGTTGTTGCACATTTTAGAATTGAACTTTAAAAAAAAAATCCATATGCTTTAAAGCCTTAACAGGTGCCATGGGTAAAACAAACTGGGCTCTGTCTGTGCGCCCTTGCGGAGACCTGCTCAGGCTCACGGCTCAGAGGACACATAAATGGGAGACAATCCAATTAGTCAGAAACAGACCAAGTACTTTGGAATGAAGATCATTCAGGCATTTATCTTGGGGGTTGCTCATAAAGAGGACACTGTGTAATTAATGAACAATCTCCTTGACAACTCAGATACAGTAGATGCAGTCACCATTAATCAGGGAATTCTCGTTTCAAATGACTCAGTGTTGGCTGATGGTGCTGGCTCGTAGCTTGGCTCTGTGGGAAAGCTTGTTTTGTGTAAGCGCCATGATTAAAAGTCAGGGACACATCTCTGATTTGATCTCCAGGTTTCCTTGTTCCAGCGTTTATACATTAACCTGAACTTCTGCTGTATTTTCCTCAAAGTCATTCCTTTATGTAGTTACAATTTGTCAGCAATGCCAAAATGCAGCACTAACAGCATTTTTCTGCCTGTATCATGTCCCTGGAGCAACTATTTTGAAACTTTTTCATTATTCTTTTAAATATTTCCTCAATCCTGCTAGAAAATAAGTTGTTGCTGTTTGTTGTGTACTGTTGAGTCAGATCCAACCCATGGCTGACCCTTAAGCCAGCAGGTTTTCAGAGCCAGTAAATTGCGCAGAACGAGATTGTCCGTCCTTCTATTTCTTAATTCATTCATTCTGAAACATGAGGTAAGGACTTTCTGTGGGGGAGATGAGGATAAAGTCCTCCTTTTTCCTGTGGTGCTGGAGAAGATTTTTGAACATACGCAAGGCTACCAAGAAAACAAATAGGTCTGTCTTAGAGAGGGTGAAACAAGGTTTCTCCTGGGAAGCTAGGATTTTGAAGCTCTGTCTCACATACTTTGGGCAGGTGGCCAGGAGGAACCAGTCCTTGGAGAAGGACATCGTGCTCAGAAGGTTGGAGGGACAGTGCAGGAGAGGAAAACTCCTGATGAGATGGACTGATAAAGTAAAGGGAGCAGTAGGGGTTGGTGTACCGGAGTCAGTGAGACTGGCTTAGGACAGGGCAGGCTTCCGAGCTGTTGGACATAGGGTCGCTATGAGTCATAGGAGACTCAGTGGCACATAATAATAGCAACAATCTAGAGTAATTGCCTTTTCATCCTCTGAACAGCCATCATTCTGGAAATTCTCACTGCCTTCCTCCCTATGTGGGATTCCTTGTTTCTAAGATTCTTCTTGTTTGGTTTATTTCTCCCTTTTGAAGGAGGCCAGACTCCTCCTGTGAAATTTAGTCTCTGAAAACCAGCCAGTGGTTCAGCTGTGAGTCTATTCTGATGCATCAGCACAGGACAACAATAATATCCTCCTCCAGTGGCTTCTACAAACATTGTTGGTAAGGTGTCAGCTTTTTGAGACGTAGCATGTCAACCGTGTATCTTTGATTTTGTGCTCATATGTGGTTGACAGTTTGGCTGCAGGTAAAAGTCCAGGGCGAAAGCGTCTTACCATAGAATTTTGAAGGGATGCCATTATCTTTGAGATGCTGATGTTGTTTTGAGGGAGCTGGTATCATTCTTGTTCCAGGTCTTAATGACTTTTTTCCTCTCTGGAGACGGGTGGAATTGTCTCTGTATCTCTGGTGTTCTGATATGTAGGCATATGTGTCCCGATCTATATTTGTTTTATGAACATTTTTGTTGTTGCTAAAGGCATATGTAGCAAATAAAAAAATCTACAAATAGTGTATGATGCAGTAAGTTTTTATTGAGTTTGGATCATTTTTATCTTCTTTGCTGACAGCTGTGGGGAAATTGCTGCTCTGAAGGCCAGGAAGGTTTTGATTTCTTAGACTTTCCTCTCATGTTCTTTAAAATTGCATTTCTTTTCTTCCTACTTTCTGAGAAGTTCTGTTAATACCTTATTTTTCTTTTGGATTTCTAAAATCTGTTCTTCTATATGGAACTCTGGTAGCCTAGTGTGGAGAGGATTGTGCTGCTAACTCAAAGGCCTCACCTCTCTGGAAGTTCAAGTCCCCTTACAGCTTTGTAGGAAAAAGACAAGCAGTCTAACTCCTGTCCAGTTTATAGCCTTAGAACCCAACAGAGGATCAGTTACAGGTTAGAGAGCTTTCTCGTAAAGTAATGTAAGTTTGGAGGGGTAGATTTTTAAGTAACGCATTTGGTTAATGAGTAGGTATTTCATTCCCTATTTCTTCCAGTTGCCTTTTTCTCCCCTCCGGGTTAGTTTACATCTCTATCAGGGAACACTTGCTGGTGGCCTGCTGGTGAGGAGCTGCGTTGCTAATTCAAAGGTATGCAGTTTGAATCCACCAGTTGGTCTGCAGAAGGAAGACTGATAATCTCGTATTTGGTTTTCTGTCTCTGAAAATCCTCTGGACAGTCAGCTGTGGGTCCCTTCTGACTCAGCATTACTTAAAAACAACAGCAACAATCTTTCACAATGATGCCC